ATGGTCCAGGGAGGAGGGGCTGGTGCGCTGACCCAGAGGCTAGGCCCAAGCGTGGGCCACCTCAGCGCTGCTGTCCCCTTAGGAGGCCGAGAGCCGTCCGCGGTGCCGCCGCCTGCAGCTGAAGGACATGATCCCCACGGAGATGCAGCGGCTGACCAAGTACCCCCTGCTCCTGCAAAGCATCGCGCAGAACACAGGTACGGCCCCGCCCACCTGCTGGGCCCGCTCTCCCGTCTCCCACCCTGGCCAGGGACCAGCGGTGTCCAGGCTTGGAGCTCACCAGGGCTGGTCCCTCCCTTGCCCACAGAGGAGCCTGCGGAACGGGAGAAGGTGGAGCTGGCGGCCGAGTGCTGCCGAGAGATTCTGCACCACGTCAACCAGGCCGTGCGGGACATGGAGGACCTACTGGTGAGCCCGGCTCTGCCCATCGCGGGGCCACTTCTGCTGAGTAACCCTCAGCTCCTCCCTTTTAGGGTTACTGGAGGTCAGGCCTCACCCTGGGCTTGTCTCCCTGGGGACACGGTGGGATGGCCCCAGCCCTTGGCTTGTACTTATGACACTGCTCCTGCTCCAGCGGCTCAAGGACTATCAGAGGCGCCTGGACTTGTCCCACCTGCGGCAGAGCAGTGACCCCATGCTGAGCGAGTTCAAGGTGACCCTGCCTGCCCTCGCCCCTCTCCCTCGACCCTGGCCCTGCTGCCCAGGCCTTCTCCAATGGTCCCAGGGACCCAGAGAGGCCCGTCCACGCTGACCCCTCCCCCTTCCCCCAGCACCGTCCTGACCCGACTGATACCCAGCCCCATGGTCATCTCCACCCACCCTGCCCCGCCCTGTCCTGCACTGACCGTCACTCCTTCCCGCCTCCAGAACCTGGACATCACCAAGAAGAAGCTGGTGCACGAGGGCCCACTGACATGGCGGGTGACAAAGGACAAGGCTGTGGGTGAGCCCCCGGGCGGCGAGCCGGGCCTCGAGGGGGGGTGCTCAGGCCGGGGTGCTGAGCAGGGCCAGGCCCCTGCAGAGGTCCACGTGCTGCTGCTGGACGACCTGCTGCTGCTGCTCCAGCGCCAGGACGAGCGGCTGCTGCTCAAGTCGCACAGCCGGACGCTGACCCCCACACCCGACGGCAAGACCATGCTGCGTCCGGTGCTGCGGCTCACCTCCGCCATGACCCGGGAGGTGGCCACCGGTGAGGCCTGGCCCTGGGCGCAAGGCATGGCTGCCTAGGCCCTAGGGAGTGGGCAGGGAACCCTCCAAAGTGCCGGGGATCTCGCATTCTGGCGAAGGGGAGGCCACAGCAGAGTTTGAGCAGTGGCAGGCTCGAGGCCGGCTGTGGGAGGGAGCCCGAGAACTGGGCAGGGCCCTGCCATGTTGTGGGTTTTACCAAGTGAGCTGGGACACTGCCCCAGGTTTGCACAGGGCTGGCCAGCTCTGCCTGCCATTTTGAAGACACCTGACGGCGCTTGGGGGCTGTAGGGGTGTAGGAGTGGGAGCCAGGAGCCCAGTGACAAGGGATTTGCCAACATGTTGCCAAGAAGCTGCCCCGGGGCCAGGGTGGTGGAGAGGGGCTGCCTGGGTCGATGTGGGATCATGAGAGGGAAGGCTGGGAGGAGGGCAGCGGGGTCCTTTGTGAGGGCTGCCTGGCTCCGAGCTGCCTCTTTCCCCTCACAGATCACAAAGCCTTCTACGTCATTTTCACCTGGGACCAAGAGGCCCAGATCTATGAGCTGGTGGCGCAGACCGTGTCAGAGCGGAAGAAGTAAGGGGGGTTGAGTTCCACAAACAGGCGGAGGAGGAGGGCCCGGTCTCTGAGTCCCTGGGGACAGGGTGAGGGCGGGAGGCCCTGGCACAAGGTCTGGGGGCTCTGACTGCCCAGGTGCTGGCCTGTCTCCCCAGCTGGTGTGCCCTTATCACTGAGACCGCCGGATCCCTGAAGGTCCCTGCCCCTGCCTCCCGACCCAAACCCCGGCCCAGTCCAAGCAGGTGAGCAGGGCAGGGGGGGAACTGGAGGGCTGGGGGGCTGGGCCTGGCTTCTTGTGTGTCCCCAGAACTTGAACTCTAGCCTTGGTCCATGTGCATGCATGTGTGCATGTGTGTGTGCGTGTGTGTGCTGCCCCACCATGGCCCACCTTCTCCCACCCAGGCCTCTGCCTTCACTGGCCAGGCTTCTCTGTCTCCCTGCCTCCCAGCCTTGACCTCTGTCTCGGTCTCCCTCCCTGCCCCTGCCTCCCCCGAGGTCAAGGGTGTGGGGGTCACCCAGCACTTCCTCCCCCAGCACCCGAGAACCCCTGCTCAGCAGCTCTGAGAACGGCAACGGTGGCAGCCGAGAGATGCCTCCCACGGATGGTGAGCCTGGAGGGGCCTCCAGTGCGGGTGGGGGTGTCCACAGGAAACCAGGCAGAATCTGACCACCCATCCTGCTCCCCACCCAGGCCGGATCGAGAGAACCCTCAGCGCGCTCCAGCCCTTCTGCAGGCCCGGCCCCGAGGGCCAGCTCGCTGCCAAAGCCCTGCAGAAAGGTAGTCCCCTCTCCTCGCAGGGCTGCGCCGGGCCAGACTGGTGCTTCCCAACCTGCCTCGTGCTCAGCCGCCACAAGCTTCGCCAGCCAGCCACATGCCCGCCCCAGGCCCTTCTGCAGCTTCTGTCCCTTCAGTGCAGTCTCCCTGGACCCACCTCCATCCTGGGTGCCCTCCCACCCGGTCCCAGCCCTCGCCTCGGCCTCGCCTATGCCCTCCCTTTTGCATCTCAGCTCCATCTGCAGGCCCAAGCTCAGCCTGGCTGGCGCCCACCCTCCCTCCCACCCACAGGCCCCTGGCTGCTCCCCTCCTTTGCCTCTTCCCTGCTCCCCTCTGAATCCCCCATCTCAACCCCAGCCCAGCCTCTGACTCTGACCCCTTGTCCCTGGCCAGTGCTGTCCCTGAAGCAGCTCCTGCTCCCCTCAGAGGAAGACAGTGGGGCAAGGCCTCCCCCTGAAGGGGGTGGGGTCCCAGGGGGCGGCCCCCTGAGCCCCACACAGACCCAGGACATCCGAGAGGAGCTACTTGGCCTGGAGGAGACCATTAAACAGCTGGAGGTGGTGGCGGGCAGGTGGGAGGGGGGTGC